GCCGTGGCAGGGGAGGAGTGACGGGCGACTACAGCGTCGTACAGTGCTTTAGCAGTCTTGTGCTGTCCGAAGTGAGCGCGTTCGGCTAACGGCAGGTGGTTGCGAACGGCTTAGCGAGCAGCAGCGTCACGGGTAAGCCGCTGTGAGCGAGTCGCGCTGTCAGCTGTGGTGGGAGGGGCGAGAGAGGCTCCAGACGTGTGGTCAAACAACGAAACGCTGTCTCTAGAATCGCTCAGTAGGTACAGCTATAAGTCGTCGAGCCACGTATCGAACTGGATCAGACGGCCCTCATGATCGAACGTGAGGACACTGAGAGAAGCCATAGCGGGCAGAGCAAGGCGGCGCACTACCAGCAGAGCAGCACGCAGGCAGGGCAGGGCGGCGCACGGCTAGGGTGGCCTGCAGCAGGGCGGGCAGCAGCCGGGCGGTGCAAGCAGCAGGGCGGGCACGCAAAGGGGCGGCGAGCGGGCTACGAGAGGGCGGTGCGCATGCTGCAAGGGGCGGCAAGCGGGACGTAAGGGGCGGCGCGTAGGCTGCAAGGGGTGGCGAGCGGGCTGCAAGGGGCAGCGAGCGGGCTGCAAGAGGGCAGCGAGCGGTCTGCAAGGGGCGGCTAGCAGGCTGCAAGGGGCGGCGAACGGGCCGCAAGGGGCGGCGAGCTAGCTGCAAGGGGCGGTGCGCAGGCTGTAGGGGCGGCGAGTGGGCCGCAAGCGGGCGGCGAGCGGGCTGCAGTGGCGGCGAGCGGGCTGCAAGGGCGGCGAGCGGGCCGTAAGGGCGGCGAGCAGGCCGAAGGGCGGCGGGCGGGCCGAAAGGGCAGCGAGCGGGCCTAAGGGTAGCGGGCGGGCCTCAGGCAGGCGGCGAGCGGGCTGCACGGGTGGTGCGCGGGCCGCAAGGGCAGCGCGCTGGCTACAGAGGTGGCTCGCGGGCTGCTAAGGGCAGCGCGATGGGCTGCTAGGGGCGACGCGACGGGCTGCTAGGGACGACGCGACGGCCAGCAGGGCGGCGGGCCTTTAGGGTAGGGCAGCAGGGGAGTTCGTGGGGCAGCTCTGTGGTGGGCCCTAAAAAAAATTATGGTCCTAAGGAAGGACCTGCTCTGAAACCATGTTAGAATCTAGAACGATAATGAATGAACTATGAATGAGTTGGGTACAAGTACTAACCCTAATTGGGTTGTACCCCTTATGGGCTACCCCACTACAGCCTAAATGATGTAAGCATTATAACATTTTGACAGGGGGGGGGTACAAGATTGTCGAGAAAAGAGTTGTACCCTCTAAGGATAATCCCTTCATAGCCTAGACAAGCTACATGTCAGAGGTCCACTGGTGATCCCGATTGATGCTAGGGAAAGGTTACAGGCTCGTTGTCCTGGGGGGGTATGGGCGCACTGCAGTTTCTCCTGGCGGCGCACGGCTGCTGCTCCAGGTGGCGCACGGCTTTCTCCTTCCTGCCGAGGTGAGGATGCTTAGTCAAACCTTGATTGTTTCACCCATGTTACCCCATTACCTTGTGCTTCTCCATGTTACCATGTGCTTCTCCATGTGACGTTGTGCTGCTTTACGTGACCCTGTGCTGCTCCCCCTACACTAGGTGGTGCACGGAAGCAGCTGCAACTGGCGTTCACCAGCACCTGGCTGGCTGTTCCTGCACCTGGCGGGCTGCTCCTGCACCTGGCGGGCTGCTCCTGCACCTGCGAACAGCAGCACCTCCGGCGCCTGACAGGCGACAGCAGCAACATCGCCTGGCGGTCTGCAGCTCCCCTTGACACCCTACAACAGCATCACCTGGCCGCCTGCAGCTCCATGGTGAGTGTTTCCTACTATCTCCCCCTGCCTCATACTGTAATGGTGTTTTGCACTTTGTAGAACCTTGTCCTCTTGTGCCTGTTTCCACTCGTGATGCCCTCTGCCTTCTATTGCTGCGCTTAACTTGAATATCATGTCACACTCAAACATTCTTGTGATGTCTTCTGCCCCCGCCCACACCAGCTGGCGAACTGGAGCAGCTGCAGCATCTGCTTGCGGCCTGCACTAGCTCCTGACGGCTCGCAACACCTGGCGGCCAGCAGCAACCGCTGGCTTGCTGCACTAGCTCCTGGCGATGTGCATCGTGCATCAGTTCCTGGTACGCTTCCACAGCTCTAGCACTTTTCGTCAATAGCAACTTGCCTTGTCCCTTTGATCGTAGCAGCAGTGTATCAACTCGTGACTGTGATCCCCACTCACACCATTGTTGTTGTGTGTGACTCCCCCTAAAACCTGCAGGTACTGTGCATCAACCAGCGGCCTTGGCGACTGAAGTCAGTAGCTACGACTGTCTAGCAGAAAAGCTCTTGGTTGCGGCTGCTACCATGCCTTGTCTATTCATTGCAGTAGGTCTCATCCTGATACTCATCTTCATGTGTAACCTGAAAAGTGAAAATGAACGTGAACTCCCAACTCCTCTTTGTTGCAGCCCAAGATACTCCACACCCCACTCCCCCTCTCACTCGTGAGTCTGTCATCATGTATGCGTGTGTGCGGGCAGCGGGCAGGTGGGCATCTGTAAAAATGGGCAGAGAGAGGAGGATGGCAAAGTGCAGGGTGGTTCAGATGACATTTACCGTCATCGCCCGGATAGAAGACAGTGTCGAATTGAAGACACGGGGTGTCTTTAAAACGGGTGTATCTTATAGTAGGGAGCCAAGCTCCGCATAGCAACGCGCCCAATTCACCTTTTCGCGCACGGACCACGACCGCCTGGACCTTTTAATCCCGCGACTGCGTGGGGAAGGGTGGCGGGAGTTAGCATTACCGATGGTGGGATATTTTGGCTTAGACTTCTCAGAGAATGAAGGCATGGGGCCTGCAGCCTCCGCGTAGTCGTCGTCGGAGCCGAGCGCCTCGTTGACCACAATGTCGTCTTTGCTCTTATCGGCCTTCTTCTGCTTCTTTGCGCCTTTTCTGGATCCCGGGTCGCCATCGTCCTTCCGCTTCTTCTTACTTTGGCGAACGCAACGTGCGGTCTTAGCAGGAACCTCCACGACCAGATCCTTCCCCTTGTCAGCAGCACTGAGGCGGGGTCGCTGCTCCTCCGCGGGGCTGTCATCGTCCGAGAGCACCACTTGTGCTTGTTTTCGGGGGACGCGTAGGCGATGACGCAGCTTCCTCTTCAGCAGAGGAACGTCGTCATCGTCGAAGACGCGCCATGGGTCATCCACGTCGTCCTCGCCTTCAAAGAAGACCGCATCCTGGCCCGCACCCGCTTCCGCCTCCGCATCCGCAGCCATATCCGCTCCTGCTTTGGCATCCGCCTGTGCAACCACAACCGCATCCGCTCCCGCTTCGTTATCTGCCTCCGGATCCGCATCCACATCCGCTTGTCCGTCCGCATCCGCATCCGCATCACGCGTCGCTCCCGCATGCACATCCGCATTCGCCGCCTCCTGGGCTTCTACCGTCGCATCCGCGCCTCCGTTGTTGTCATCGCCACCGGCGCGCTACTCTTCCACATCGTCGCCGGAGCCGATCGGCCGCGTCCACCAGTCGTCATCGTCGATGCCACTTGCAGGCACCTCGTCACCCGATTCGCTGTCCTCGTGGCCGTCCTCCTCGCCCTCGTCGCCATGTTCTTTGTCGCCTTCGTCCTCGTCACAACTCGCTCCTGAGCCAGCGTTAGAGCATCCCGCCGTTTGGCGCTTCTCTTTCGCCATGTCTACACGGATATCATCACCGAGCAAGTTGATGCGCCCATAATTGGTAACCTCGAGGTTAGGGAGAGGAGACGGCGCGCTTGCAGGGTGCTTTCTACGCATGATAGAGCCTACTTGGAGCTAACATTGAGCAAGTTTTGAGTTCCATGAGCTCAAAATCAAGCTCAACCCCGACTACCCCCCGTCCCAGAGTGCCCCCTCCTGTGGAAGACGAGCCGCTCCTCTACGAGAAATGAACAACATGCTGCCATCGTGTTGCTGGCAGCGTTCTAGAAGCCTCTGGTCGCTGCTGGAAGCAAAACGACACTGGCAGCATCATGAGATGCTGCCAGCAGAGCGGGATTCTATCAGCACAAGCAGGGCTCTTGCTAACTTTTAGGCCCGTCTGACGTTTTCCAAGGAAAAAAAAAATCGTTTGGCCCTCATATGGAGGATTCCTGGTGGTCTTTGCCTCAGACGGATTTTATAAGTTAGTATGTCGGCTCAGACAGATTTTCACGAAATCAGACATTTATTTAGATATATAGATTACACACAGAATACACTCTACTCTACTCTATTACTACAGTTAACCATACATTCATATTGAACTAGGATTCACTATCGCTATCATGAGAAGAATATTCCTCGTCGTCCCCGTCTAGCTCTGAATCTGAAGCAATGTGCTCTTTGCCATGGTCTGCCCGTCTCTGCCAGGGGCCCAACTCCTCCTCTAGCCTGGCTGCTTCTTCTGCAGCTGCTGCTTCACGAGCAGCAGCCTCTGCTGCTGCTGCTGCTGTTGCTGCCGCCTGCTTCGCGGCCAGCATCGCAAGGGTCTTCCTCGTGCGCTTCACAGGCCTTTGCGCATGCACCATCACCACATCCTTGGCTGGGCGTCTCTTCTTCGCACCTCTCCACAGCTCTACAAGGGCGGGCCAGTCAGGTTCGTACTTCAGCATGGAGATGGTCATCAGGTCGCCAAGCTTCGCGTCGTTGAGATTGCCGCGTAGCCAGCTCTTGATGACGTTCTGGCGGGAGAAGCCCCGCTCGCACTCCACGGTGCTCAGGGGCAGCACTGCGACCGCCATCCAAAGGCGGACCAGGTTGGGGTAGGCCGTGCACCAATCGGGCGAGCTGAGCATCTGCTTCAGGCCGTCCTGGAAGCTCAGCTCACGGTGATGGGTCGACATGATCGTGGTGAAACTGCTGATCTCCTTCTGTGCTCTCGTCCAGTTGTGAATCAGAAACCAGTTTAATGAGAATACGAGCTGTTTAGTAAAGTACACAAACTCATACAACCAACAAACCATAACGTGACACAAACATAGAAAACTCAATCAATGACAACCGAAATCGAAGACGTATCAGGCAGGGTGTCAGGGTCGGACGGTTTCCGCTTGAACAGATTGCGGAGAGCCTCCAGCCACTGCAAAAACCGACGCTGCCGCTTCGAGTGAGATTTCGGGTACGCCCCCTGCGTGAACTGCTTGGCGCCGTCAAGAGAGCCCAGATCCTTCATCCGGCTCTCCAGTCGCTTCAGCAGCTCCTTCACGTAACCCTTCGCCAGTGTGATGCTGTCGTCCAGGCCCGGGCCAGATTTCTGACCCTTGATGTTATGTTCATGGAGGGTGTACTCATGAGTAGTCGGGGCGCCAGTCGAGTCGGTGCCCGTCACCTTCACTTCCCTTTTTTCCGACGAGGCGTGCTTCGACAAGAAGGCGCTCAGCTCGTTGCTCCCATCGCCGAAGTCGTCCGCGTCACTCAGGTAACGGTTGCGAAGGGTGAGCCTAGTGTTGTCCACCATCTGCAGCACGTGTGTCACGTCGACCTGCCACACACACATGAGAGGCAGTGGAAAGGCACGCACGGGTAAATATCTCATAAATACGATTCATTAATACTAAAAACAGTTAACAGCAAGAGGCGTAACAGCGTACCTGCCGTCGCTGGAACTTGAGGTTCAGTGCGTTGAGTTCCTTCAACACATCAGCAAAAAAAAACAGCATGAAATGGAATTTCAAACTGGTTACAACGAGGTACGCCTTCGGGTCGTTCTCGTACAACAGAATGACAGCAGCTGGAAGGTTGTCAGCCAGTCGCTGAACCGCCAGACCACGTGAAAGCCACCTGACGCTGTGGATGCCCTGCAAATCCAGGTTCGTTTTACACAGCACCTCCTGCAGCTCTTTGAAGCGTAGGTGGAAGTTGCCCGACCGTCCAAGGAGCTCCGCTAAGGAACGGACGACATGGTCGACGATGTCAAGGTCGGGGTAGGCCTCTGCTGCATCCTTAGCGGCCAAAGCTTCCCTGACATAACACGGAAAAAGCAACAAGTTAGATACATATGCAACGCTTAAAAGGTGAGCATAATATCACAGGGTTACAAACCTGTGCGCGATGCAGTGGAACCCGGCGAGGTGTGGAATCCGTGCACGAAGGCGTGCCACCAGGCCCGTCTGAGAACCGACCATGACGCTTGCACCGTCAGTGCTGATGCCACTGATGCGCTCAAGGTCGAGGCCGGTAGACTCCAGGTGGGTTAGAAGGACTGCCTGCAGGGAACCAGCATCGCACTGCTCAACTGTTAGGTGTGCGAAAAATTCGGTGACGGGAGTGTTGCTGCGGAGGAACGACAAGTAGACTATCAGGTGCTTCCCGCGCCGACGGTCCGTGCTCTCGTCCAATTGAATGCCCAGGTAAGGACTCTCCCGGATGTGCTTCATCTGTTGAGCACGGAGGTAGATGACGAGCGTCTCAACCAACTGCGCAAACCCGTACCTGTAACGACCAGAGAGAAGGTAATTAGTACCGTGGTTTCCAACTAAAGGACGCGCAAAAAAAACATAACACTTACTCGCTATAGTAGGTGCCGGGATCCTTCAGGGGCATGTCGGGCGTGCCCATCTCTGCCATGAACTGGACCAGGGTCACAAACAGCACAATGGGTGAGTCGCTTCTGCAAATAAAAATAACTGTTGCCAGGAGTTTTGTCAAACGCTTGGCTTCCCCGTCACCGTTTTCAAAGTCGACAATCGACTTCTGAGCAGCATTCTTGCAGTCACGCAGCTGTTGGCGGTCCACTGACGCCTCATGCTTGATGGAATGCTGATGTTTCTGCATCGTCTGTCGTTGAATGTCAAGCCCACCCTCTCCATCGCGGCCGTACTGGTAGCTGGGGTCTCCATGCACCATGCAGATTGAACACCTCATGCAGGGTTGACCCCATGAAGTCTCCGAGATGATGAGCCACGGGAAGTGCTTGAGCCATTTCTCGTTGGCCTTCTGCTGCCACTGCTCGACGGTCAAGACGCGCGGATACTTGTCGTCGTCGTTGGCGGCGACGGGCTGTGACGGGCCCGGGCGAGGTGTGCTAAAGCGGGGGACGGTTGCTGGCGAGACACCTGCAGTGGGACGGGCAAAGCTCAGAATCCGCTGTTTGTATTTGCCGTTCCCTGCTCTAATGCGAGAAACAGAAATCGCCGGTAGAGTTGTGGCCACAGATGCCGAAACGGGTTGCGGCGAAGACTCAGCTTCAGCCGGGTTAGGCTGGGTCGTAGTCTCAGTAGCGTCTGACGTGGATTGCGAGGGGATAAGCGGCTCGTCGTTGCATGATGTGATGACGTTGGGGGAAGGAATTACAGGCGGAGGCGTCTCGACTGCGGCAGTGGTGGTCACAGGAATTGCTGCCGGAGTTTTACGGGTTAGGAAATCTAACGCAGAAACCCGTGGCTCGTCAGGTACCCCGGGTGGATCACGCCTAGCGCCGTCGGTTGACTCGAGGGCGCCAGATAGCATGGTGTGAGGTGGTGTATCACATCACATGAGGCAGTAGCAACACAGTAATTCTAGACGGTACGCGGGAACAAGCTACGGGACGATAGGTATGCTTTGGGCTAGGCGTCAAAGATTGAAAGGCAAAGGCAGGTTGTCAAAGAAAGGCTTGGAGAAGAAAGGAAGGGAAGGGACCATCACCTCACGAACCGCGCCGCGCCTCTCTCACGAGGGTTTCACGAAGGTGGGTGCATGCTTTGTTTTGGTGTGCACCGACTGTCCTTGCACTCTGCCAGCGAGGTGGGGGGCAACAGCCTGGCAGCGGCGCCGACAACAGCTACCCAACAGATGCGTGGCAGCAACTGAGTCAGATGCAGTATGCGCTGGCAGGAAGAATCCGAAATTCACCCCCGTTCCCTCACGCAGAAATCATTACGCGTGCCTTCACATGCAACACATCGCTGCTCCTCTGGCCAACTGGGCTATTTTGTCTCTATCAGACGAATCAATACGCGATTTCTGCTTGATCAGACGAATCTACATAAGTTTCCTGAAAAACATATGATGCTATAGCCTTGGTCTTGGCTCACATATGGCCCATAAGCTAAAGTTTGCCGCAGCATATGAACTACACATTTCGTGCCTGAAACCTAGACCAACAGACTAAATTAGTCTGCTAACGAGGGCCCTGAGCACAAGCAGCATTGCTGCGTCCCATCACGTGGCACGTGGTGGCGACGCATGCATCAGCGTAATTGTGCGGCCGGATTCAATGAATCCACCCCCTGGGTGGTTTCTACACACTTTGTCAATGTTACAAAGTTCATATAATTTATGCCTATTTATAAGAATTATAAGACACCCAAAACCATCCCAAATACAAGACACAGCAAGCTTTTTATTTAATGTATAAGATAAGATATATATGTCTACTATCCGGGCGATGACGGTAGATGGTGCAGAGCGGTTCATTTGGCATCCATGCTAACAAATGAAGCGCCTTTAGAGACAGGCCAGTGCACAAGGTCGGCTTTCCTGCTTTCCGCCCCGCAGGTAGTTTCTCCGCCCCACAGGTAGTTTCTCCACCCCACAGGTAGTTTCTCTGCCCCACAGGTAGCTTCTCCGCCCTAAAGGTAGCTTCTCCGCCCTAAAGGTAGGTAGGTTCCTTGATTGCCCGAAGATTTGCACAAGTAGATGGGGTCTGGGGGGCAGTGCTTGGAACCTTCCAGGAAGCTCGTCGCAAAGAGGATGACGCCGCCTTACAGCTGGCGGTTGAGACGTCTCAAAAGCCGAGGGAGACAGCGAACTAGAGGAGCGGAGAGAAGGGGTGCCGACATGCCATGATTGGATGGGAGGGACTGAATTGGGATGGAAGGGATGGCGAGAGAAGACTTCAAAATGACATTCCGTACCTGTGAGGGATGGGGTGCGTGGGTTGGGGTGGGTTTGGGAGGGTTTGGGTGTGTCTGGATGGGTCATATGACATCGCCTTACAGCTGGCCGAGGGAGATGGCCCTACTGTAGGAGAGGAAAGAAGGGCGCTCGAGATGCCATGGCGTACCTGTGAGGGTTTTTGTGGGGTGTGGGGGATTGGCATTGGAGGGGTATGCGAATGGTGGGAGCACGATGAGAAGCAGATGACGTCACAATGTCGCTGAGACGGGAAGAGGCTTGTGGTGCAGTGAGGGAGGGCGGTGGATGATGTGTGGATGTAGTTGGGCTAGGAAGGGAGAGTGTAGAGTGGAGGATGGAGGAGGAAGGTTTAGAAGGCCAAATGTGCAGGAGGGAACAGAGGATGAAAGGGAGGAGGGCAGGGAGGAGGGACGGGAGGAGGGACGGGAGGAGGGAAGGGAGGAGGGAAGAAAAGAGGAAGGGGAGGAGGGCAGGGAGGGGGGAATGGAGTGGAGAAAGGGGGGGGAAGGGAGGGGGGAAGGGAGGTGGAAGGGAGGGGGAAGGGAAGAGGGAAGGGAAGAGGGCAGGGAGGGGGGAAGGGAGGGGGGAAGGGAGGGCAGAAGGGAGGAGGGAAGGGAGGGGGGAAGGGAGAGGGGGAGGGAGGAGGGAAGGGAGGGAGGAGAGAAGGGAAAGAAGCAGAGGTGAAGCGGATGTTTCTGCCACTTTGCAAAGTGTGGGAGAAATACAACTTTAGCGAATGACTTTAGATTCGACTCAAACCTGGCCAGGGAGAAAGCAAAGAGGGACTTTCTAGAGCCATGGAGTGTCGCGATCGCAGGCGGGCGGGATAGGGGGGAAGGGGGAGGGCAAGGGATTGGACGAGTCCTTGAACGGCTTACAGGATAGGGATGAGAGGATAGGGCATACATGATAAGGCATACGGGATAAGGCATACATGATAAGGCATACGGGATAATGCATACAGGTTAGGGCATACATGATAAGGCATATGGGATAATGCATACAGGATAAAGCATGCATGATAAGGCATACCTTAAAGAGCTTACAGATTAAGGGTCACTCACACGATGTGGAAGCAGGAGGGCCTTTCGATGACGACAGTGACCACCTCAACGGAGAGCACACAGCCGTCTTGAGTGGCATAGCGCGAGTTTGCCTTGCTGTACTCCTTCCCTGCGATGGGAGAGGAAACAGGCGGGGCAAACAAGGTAAGGGGGGCAGGAAAGACAAGGTAAACGAGAGAACACAGGCATTGCAAGTAAATCAGCCTTGCTGTACTCCTTCCCTGCGAGGGATGGTGTGGGAGTGTTGAAAGTAACAGGTGACAGAAGAAGGCACCAAGGGAGCACACAGGTAGAGTGGCATAGCGCGAGTCGGCCTTGTTGCTCTGGTTCCATGCAAGGGGGGCGCGAGAGCACGCGCCAGGTGATAGGTGAGAGGAGAGAAAGGGGGCAGGTTATAAGGTAAGAAGAGGCACCAAGAGACAAATGCATAGCAGTTGGCAGAGCGAGAGTCGGCCTTGCTGCGCTGCTTCCATGCAAGGGGTGCTGCCAAGGGAGAGATGAAAAGGTAAGGTGAGATCAAGGGGAAAGCACAGCACACGGTAAGAGTCGGTTTTGCTGTGCTCCTTCCTGTGAGGAGTGGTGCAGAGGGGCAGATAGTAGGCCAAGGCGAAGCAGGCGTTGCTGTTGAGGGTACAAAGGGATACTCAGGAGGTCAGAGAAGGGAAGGGAAGGGAAGGGAAGGGAAGGGAAGGGAAGGGAGGGGAGGGGAGGGCAGGGGAGGGGAGGGGAGGGGAGGGGAGGGGAGGGAAGAGGAGGGGAGGGGACGGGAGGGGACGGGAGGGGACGGGAGGGGAGGGGAGGGGAGCGGAGGGGAGGGGAGGGGAGGGGAGGGGAGAGGAGGGGAGGGGAGGGGAGAACAGTGGAGGGGAGGGGAGGGGAGGGGAGAGCAGGGGAGAGGAGGGGAGGGGACGGGAGAGGACGTGAGGGGACGGGAGGGGAGGGGAGGGGAGGGGAGGGGAGCGGAGGGGAGGGGAGGGGAGGGGAGAGGAGGGGAGGGGAGGGGAGAACAGGGGAGGGGAGGGGAGGGGAGAGGAGGGGAGGGAACGGGACAGGACGGGAGGGGAGGGGAGGGGAGGGGAGGGGAGGGAGGGGAGGGGAGGGGACAGGAGGAAGGGGAGGGAGGGGAGGGGAGGGGACAGGAGGGAGGGGAGAGGAGGGAGGGGAGGGGCGGGAAGGGGAGGAACGCGTTGCTGGTGCTGCTCGTGCGGACATTCCTCTAAGGGACGGCAAGAGCAATACCAATCTTGACCACAAGAGCAAAGTAACTCAGACCCTACGCAACGAAAGACCTCTCCTATCAACTCCGAGTCAATCCAAGCATCACCGTAACCCCAGGGGCATTTCTCGCCAGAAGAGCATTTTTCGGTGTTTAACCCATACGTTACACACATTATCTAGAAGAGAAGCGTTGCTGGAGCTGCTCATTAGATCCTTGCATCCATCCATTGGCGTATACGTGAACTGAAGCATCACCGCCACCCCAGCAGAGCTGCTCATGAGGTCCCAGAACGCAACGAACGGGCCCTTCCAGCACCTCGTGGGAGGATCGTTCCTATCACTGCCCACCAGCGGAGGGTCGCGGACCTATCCAGAGCCGACATGCGGCGACAGGATCCTGACGGTGACGGGAGGGGGAAAGAGGGCGGGGTGGGGAGGGGGAGGAGGAGGGGGAGGCGGGGGGGCTGGAGAGGAGAGGGAAGTAGATGTCTGTGATCTCCCACTAGCAAAAAACGTGGACTTAAAAATAGCCGACAATTGGCGGCAGCAGCTTGAAATCGGGTGTGGGAAACGCCGGGGGGTGGGAGCTGGGGGCGAGCGCAGGTTGTATGAGTGATAAATAGTAAGGGCGAAGTTTTAGCAATGGGGGTGACAGGAGTCGGCATGAAGTCGCACTAGTGCGAGACGGATTGCACGCATCGTAGCACGGAGAAGCCGCCTTTGCACGGTCGGTCGTAATGCCGCGTTAGGGAGGGGAGGAGAGGGTCAGGAGAGGAGGAGAGGTTGGGGAGGGGATGAGAGGGTGGGGAGGGGATGAGAGGGTGGGGAGAGGAAGAGGGGGTGGGGAGGGAATGAGAGGGTGGGGAGAAGATGAGAGAGCCATTTCCCTGCACCTCACTCGTCGTCGCTGCACTCCACTCCGAATCGCTGCTTATATCCAGCCTTCGCTACACATTCGCAACCTTCGCCACGTCTCGCGAAGCCTGCCTTCCAAGGCTGCTCGCTCCCAGCTCACTCCTCCCCGGCGGTCAGGCTTCCCTCCCATCCAAGTCGAGCGTTGCGCGTCGTCAGCGTAGAGAGTCGCCGCGTCGCGCGTCGGCAGCGTCGGGGGGGATGGCGTGGTGCTGGGAGGAACACGCAGCTCGACGCCGCGGCGCAAACGTGTACAGTTACTCTCGAAAGCCATGACGCGACAGAATGGAGGTGACACATGGAAATCGAGTCGCGAGGGGGCATGCTGGGCTGAAAACTGTTTGTGCTGCAGTGCGCGTAGTGGAGAGGACTTCGCTACATCAACCTGCTTGGCAATACGTGTGTGTTGTGTGTGATATTGCTCAATATGGTGGCTCACCTGTAGGGTTTCAGTTGAAACCAAACCAGGCTGACAGCCATGCTGTACACGTGGCAGAAGGATGAAGGAACCGACGGTCGGTGACACCCACGGAACACGACTGGGAACTGCCAAGGCGGAAAATAAAGGCTGAATAATTGCTTCAACGAGGCATACCTTTCTCGGCCTTTTGGCTAAGATCAAGTGTAGTATCTGTTCTTATCAGTTTAATATCTGATACGTGGACCATCGGTCCACATGATATTAAATTAATTTCTTTTGGGGGCAGGTGCCAATGGCCAGCTTGCTGGTCGGCTCTGCGAGCGTCGCCTCAGTATTGCACTAATTCGGAGGAAGGCGCACCCCTCCCCTATTGGGGGACCAAATAAAATTCAGAAATGGGATTTTTATAATTGGCACAAAGCTTATGAAATTGTCATGTTGGACCCTAAATAGACCACAAAATACGCATGCAAACATACATTTTGTCAAGTGATAAAAATGTTTCAAGCTATATTGAGGTACTCTCTACATGGTACAACCCTTTGAAGGTTGCCTAAGTGCTATATGAGATGGTATCAGTAGGATCATCCTAGGGCCATCTACGATACCTCCTTCAACTGCCTTTCTCCTATGCGTTTTCACCAGCCAGCCAGCCCCGTCCCTTCCGTTTTCGCCAGCCAGCAGACCGCCAACCCCCAACGAGCCAGACGCTAGGAAGTAGTGCCCCTCGCTAGGAAGAAGCGCATGCCCCCCATAGGAAGTAGCGCGCACCCCACTAGGAAGCAGCGCGTGCCCCCCCATAGGAAACATCGTGCGCCTCCCTAGGAAGCTGCGTACGCCAGCTAGTGTCCGGGCCACAATCAGCGCACGCTGTTGAATAGAAAGAGTAGGGCCTAGGCTTAGTAGCCTAGGCCAAAGGGAGTCGAGAGAGTTTATCCAAAAAGAGGATGAGTTCACTATTGAGCGAGGTACAAATAGCAAACAAAGTATGCAAAGAAGGTGCACCACCAACAAGTTTATAATAACTACACTAACTACAGCTACAGGCAGTTACAGATATATTCTAACACACGCAACACGCACGCCCCGCGTGACGCGACTCGCGCGCCTTACACGCGCACGTCAGCCCGCTACAGCAGAGCGCGCCGTAGGGCTCGCCCATGCACGCGCGCCACGCACACGCTGACGTGCGCATGCCGGCGTAAATGCGCGCCTCTTTAGCAGAACGCACGCGCAAAGCGCACGCTCCCCGTCTGCTAGCTCGCGCGCCCCGCTGGCCAGCGAAGGCCCAACTATCACGCGCTCTTGTCAGTTAGCAGAGCTCCTCGACAGCCACCTCGTCACAACCCCTCCTCCTGTGCCTGCCCTTCACCACCTCCTCTGTGAGTGCCATCCTCAGCAGCGGCTGGAAGTCGCATTCCCTAGCGCAGATTAGGGGTTTCCCACCGTTCCTAGCCGCTCTTATCAATTCCTCGCCACTCCTAGCCTGGTGCAGACTAGGGATTCGAGCGACGTTTCTGACGTGCGGTTCTTCGCCATCCACACCTCGTTGGTCAGGCTAGCTTCCAGAGTGACGTTCATCCCTCCAGGAGTTCCTCGCTCTAGCCGTTTCTAGCTCAAGCCGTTCCTACCTCCAGCCGCTCCTCGCTCCGGCCGTGTGTAGCTCCAGCCACTCCACGCTGAAGCCACTCCTATCTCCAGCCGCTCCTAGCTCCAACCGCTTCTACCGTAAGCCGTTTCTAGCTCCAGCTGCTTCTCACTCCAGCTGTTCCTAGCTCTGGCTGCGTCTATCTCCAACCGTTCCTAGCTGCAGCCACTCCATGCTCCAGCTGTTCCTTTTTCCGGCAGTTCCTAGCGTCAGCCGTTCCTAGCTCCAGCTGTTCCTATCTCCACTCGTTCCTCACTCCAATCGTTTCTAGCTCCTGTCGCTTCTACGGCCAGCTGGCTTTTGCCATGGTGTCCACTAAAGTTTTGCAGTAGTAAAGGCAGCCGCAGCCGCAGCAGCAGGAGCGGTAGCAGTCCTAGCACTGGGGGCCTGGTGGTCCGGTGAGGTCGGCTGCACCAGCGGCCTAGACAGCTCGTGGGCTCGTTGCGGTGGTCGCCACATTGGGCCTTGCCTATACCAGATCCTGACTGGCCCTGGTGCTGGCACTATCTGCTTGCATCCTGACCACTTTGCGTTGCGCTGCTTCAGTCGCCTCGACGACATCTACCGTGAGCGTTTCGGGCCTGAATCGGTTCCCTTTTCCTTATTTGTTCTGCTTCCCGATGGTTGCCGTGCATTTGATATATCCAAAGATGCTATTAACTCTTTTATGTATCTTAGTACCTCTTATACAGTCAGATCTCGTCGCTTGCCCTCTTAGCCGCCGCGACCTTTCCGTCGCCGCCTGCCCTTCCGCCGCCGCGACCACGCTGTCGCAGCCTGGCCCTTCCGCCGCCGCGAATGTCACTGTTAGAAAAGTGAACGAATGAATGACTGAACTAGCAAACAGGTGGGTACAAGTAGGAAACCTAAAAGTGTTGTACCCTATATGAACTACCCCACTACAACCTAAATAGACTATAGCATATAAGTTTGACACACCCCCATAGGCAAAGTGGGGGAGAACAAGAGGTCACAAGACCAGTCAAGAAAGGCAAAGCAAGCTCAAGGTGGATCACAAAGTCACCACGCAGTCTGAGCACAAGCAAATGGCCACAAGGCCAGTTCCCATGCAGAGTTATATAAAGGAGAACAAACAATACAGTGAACACAACATAGCAAGTGTAAGCATGCAGGTATATGTATAGAGAGTACAGTACAAGAAGAGTCAAGAAGTAAGCAAGTGAGGCACAGTAGGTACAAGGCCTAGAACAGTACAGAAACGCTGATGATCACAAGGCTGAAGTGCCTTGGTGAAAACATCAGCAGTGTTGGCCTGAGAGGCCACGTAAGCAAGACGAAGCTGACCACGCTGCTGCAACTCTCGAGCAAGGAAGTAGCGCAGAGCAATGTGCTTCGTTCTGTGCTCCAGTCTGTGCTCCTAACACAAGGCAAGCATGGACTTGATGTCGACGTACAGAACTGGAGGAGAACGAGGCGTCTCTCCCAAGTCGGTCAGCAGGTAGGTGAGCCAGCGTAACTCCTGTGCAGCCATGGCCCCAGCGTAGATCTCAGCCTCACAACTGGAGTTGAGAACAGAAGAAGAGCGGGTAGATCGCCAAGAGACAGAACCGGAGCCAAGATTGAAGGTGTAACCCTGTGACGACCGCTGCGTAGCCAAGTCGTCAACCCAGGAAGCGTCTGCGTGACCAGTGAGGACAACTCGAGCCCGTCCTCCAAGCACGAGCCCCATGCCCGACGTACTGCACAAGTAGCGCAACACCCTCTTCGCAACATCCCAGTGCACCTTTCGGTGCCTACCGGGAGCCACGTAGCATGCCAGAAGGCTGAGTGGGTATGCGAGGTCAGGTCGTGTACAAGTCATCAGGTACATGAGGCAGCCTACAAGCTCTGGATACAGGCCACTCGGCTCTACGGACTCGTCCGAAGGTGGAGCTGAGAGCGAGTGACCGGTAGGCAGAGGAGTGGACTGTGGCGAGGAGTACGTGAAGCCGAAGCGCTGAAGGACCTGCTGCACCATGTGTGACTGAGTCAAGGTAATGGTGCGCTGTGCTCTGTCTCGGGTGATCCGCAAGCCAAGATAGCTTGTCAGCTCACCCAGGTCTGTGTCTCTTCTGCAGCTCGGACTTCACGTGGGCGAGTGCCTCAGTGTCAGCAGTAGCAAAGACCAAGTCGTCTACGTACACGAGAACGTAGAACGGCGGCAGAGTGGTGTGAGTGCGTAAAAACAGTGACGGGTCAGCAGTGGAAGGAGCAAAACCAAGAGCAGCAAGAGTCGTCCTCAGTGTGTCGTGCCACTCACGGGGTGCCTGGCGGAGACCGTAGACTGGCCGGCGGAGGCTCCACTGGGTACCAGCAGGAAACGACCCAGTGAATCCAGGTGGGCGGCGCAGCCAGATCTCCTCGTGCAGGCTGCCCTGTAGGAAG